GTGTGCAGCAGGACATACAGCCCAGGGACCAGTGTGGGCCAGTGTGCAGAGGGACATACAGCCCAGGGACCAGTGTGGGCCAGTGTGCAGCAGGATATACAGCCCAGGGACCAGTGTGGGCCAGTATGCAGCAGGAGACACCACCCAGATGAGACTGGGGATGCCCCAGAAGGGCAATATTCTAAAACGTAAACCAACAGAAAGCGGCAGACCAAATTCTCCCTACACTTAAATTACAGAGAAACCTTCCGGACAGTTTTCAAAAGACAAGTTACTAAATATTTTCACTGGAAAATCATAAGAAAAAGAAGTCTAATAAATATGGACAGAATCTTGAAACATGAACATAATTGGGAATTTAATAAACGTGAATCATTATTATTTGATAATGCCATAAAACTATGGATTAAATAATGTAACTGAATCTTATAACTATGACTTAGAACAAAGACTATATTTATTAAGACTTCCTTTTTAGAAAGGTAAACATTTTACTAATAGATTAATACATCTCCACCAAGAATATATGATATTGACATTTCTCCATTTTACCAAAGACCTCACAGGAAGAGTGTGTGTTCATTTAAAATTATGTGCCTAGAAATCAGTCAAGAGCATTGGGTAACGGGATGAATGGAGACTCAGAACTGGTCTGCTGGGCCCGTTAGAAGTGAGAGCTTTTACTGTGATCAAAGACAAAGACATGTTCCAAACCTTCTTCCTGAGCAGAGTGAGGGACGCCTTAATTCTATCAACCAGGTCCTCGCTCTTCCCATCGAATTTCAGTCCAAGTTTCCACTGCTTGATCCAGCTGTACCTGCTGATTAGCTTTTCTGGTAACTAGTGCATCAAGAAACAGAGAGATAAAGAGGCATTAACATTCCAAGAAGCCCACCCCAGGATCCAAGATATAAGAAATCATGGGAGCCTACAAAACCTACCTCCATTTCCAGAATTAACTCATGCAAATCTGCCATCGGGGTTTAGGAGGGAGGACCTAAATCTGAAGTCAGAGACTCAAGCTCTGAGGGGGCTACTAGAGTGACATAGTGGTTGTGGTTGAGATGCAAAGGCACCACGTCCCCTGCTGGACTCCCAGCCAGTCAGAAACATCCCACAGCTGTCTGAAAGCATCAACGAAGGCCTTACCCATGCCGTATCTTCACATAAACCATCTTCAGGTGCTGGGCTCACGGGCAGCCTACCATCACTACCTAATCACCATCAGGACGGCACTTCGGGGCATGAGAGAAGGGCCGGGATAAAATGAAAACCTGCTCCTTTCCTGACTAGGAAAATTAAAACCTCACTTCTGACTTAAAAAAAGAAAAAAATCCACTTTAAAGACAAAGTAGAAAAAGATCTTTTTGTTAAGTAATATTAACACATATACTCAAAGTTTTAATACTCAACGAAATGATATCACATCTAGTTTAACTGCCTAACCAGTAGAGTAGGATACAAAATACACCTGAGAAAGACAGGCAGGGGGTAAAGGAAGCCGGGGCC